CAAAGCCCGCCGCCTGCGGAACCTGATCAGCGGCTGATTCCAGGAAGCCCGGGGCAGAGCAACTCTGCCTCCGGCTTCCTATAGTCAGCCGCTGGTCAGTTTCAACAGTGGCTGAATCTGGACGCCAGTTCCGACTTACATACAAATTCAACTTAAGAACAAACCTACAGTCCCTGTCTTGTACGTAACCCGGGGACTGCCTGTACATAGAAAGGTTAGCATTCACAAAACTGTGTAACAGGAAGGTAGGTCTCTTTTAGGTTGTATAGTTCAAAAATCTCTATAGAAAGTTTTCATTTTCTGTTTAATTTCTATGGGACTTTTCCATAAGAACAGATACAGTAAAACTTGTTACCTGTATATTTTGGAAGATTTATCCCATGAATATAAAAGAATAAATACAAATAAATGTTAAACCCATTTACTGCTAGATTCAGATTATAATTAATACTGTATTTATCACATTAATTGGTGATTTCACAGAGGGTATTAAAAACTCTCTGTTTGCCCCAAGGAAATGGTTAGAAAGATATTCCATGAATCAAGACTGTTTCCTATCCCCTGTGTTGGAAAAGCTTGTAAAAGAATGATCGGGCCCAATGAGTGAGAGCAGGTTCAGACCACCTTGAAAAGTGGATACACTAATTTGTTGCTGCCTTCATAAAGAGAACTTCTTGATATTTTATGCATAATGGAAATGTTTAAACAACGCGGACTATCTCAGTATCAGAAGAGCTTAATGATGGTTATCACTTTCTTTTCTCCTGTTAGGTATCCAAGGCTGCAGCTGATTTATTAGCATACTGTGAGGCTCATATCGGAGAAGATCCCCTTATTATACCAGTGCCTGCATCTGAAAATCCCTTCAGGGAGAAGAAACTCTTTTGTACTATTCTCTGAGTCAGTTTATAATTAAAAATGTCCTTTGTGAAAATCTATTACTGATGGTGCATGCTTTTAGCATTAGATTTTCCCTGAGTTATCAACAATTAAACCCACAGTTAACAATATTTTTAGAAGCACACTACATTTTTATGGTAAATAAGTGGTTTACATGCAGATTTAGGATATCCTCACTTTACTGCCAATGCATACATTTAATAATTTCACTTATCAGTAAAGACTTGTTTTTAATGAAAGAATTAAATATTATATTAAATGGTTGTTATTTTTTGCCAATCAGATTTTTCTGAGTACAAAATGAGTCATACAGATTCTTGAGCCTATTTATAACTTTTGTTTTCTTAGAAAGGTAAATAATTTATTTTCATTTGCCTTTACAAATTTGAATCTTAAATGCAGACTGTCCTCTCTTGAAGCAGAATGCCAGTTGCTGCTGTAATGCTGCCTGGAATGGTCAATCCTGTATGATAGATGGTATTTATAAATGTGGTGTTTAGTGGAATTAAGCCACATTGTGTGTCTGAAATTTCCTTTACTGAACAAAATAAAGGAGCCCGCAACGTAGGGCTTGCTATCTTAGCTCTACTCCAAGAAGGCTTATTGAAATACAAAAAGCCATTTGTCTCCCATTCTAAAATTGTAATGGTATAAGCTTTTGTAAGAAGCTCTGAGTAAATATTTGTTCATTCTTTTAGTTGGCTGTGCTGTGGAGCACATTACGATGCTGCTTTTGAACAGAAGTAAAGTAGGCCCTTCATTAATACTTGCTACTTCATTGCAACAGACTGCAAAGCCTCAAACCTGCCATCAGTGAGCAATATATGAACTATAAATACTTGTTTAAAATGGATGCATTTAGAAAAAGATGAGCATATGCACTAAGCATGAGTAGTATATTTTTCACCTTAATTATATTTATAGTCTGTGCACCAAGACTGAAACAATCACTGCAGTATTGCTTATTTTTCAATATATATCTGTACAATCCTTCCAGAACAAAGTGTCATGGCATTGGAATGGTAAACACAGATGAGTCACAGTACTGAATGTGCCATAAGACTTCTATAGGTTAGCTATTCTGTGTTGTTTTAACACCCTAGTTCATTGCATAGAATGTTCTCAGTGTGTGAAAACGTAAGGCTTTTGCCAAATCCTGCTCTCATTGAAATCGATAGAAGTTTTGTCACAGACTTCGTTCAGGGCTAGATTTTTTTTTCCATTGATTTTTTCACCTGGTTTTGTTGTTATAATAAACACTGATACATTCCCAGGAAAATTAAATAAAAACTGAATACAGAAATACAGATATATCAGATATCTTACTATAAGTGGAGCAAAAATTGTTTTCTGAAAACTTGGAAAAAATCGTGTTTTTTCTTGCTTAATAAGGTCTTTTAGGGAATCCTTTCTATTTAGGAAATGATGTTGTAACTTTAAGGCTGCGCTTGTTACCATGGTAACATGTTCACTTGCCCTTAGTCAATATGTACAGTTTTAATAGAATGGAGAGTGAGGGGAATGTAGGTCACACAGTTGTATTCTCAAAGGTTTTGTATAAGTTTGCATTTGTGGCTCATTATTACTGTCTCATCTAGCATTATAATATTGCAACCCCTTAAATAGAATTCTTGTTTTCTATTTCAAATTACCTCTAATGTCTTCAAATTAAAGAGCCACCTCAAGTACTCTGGAGCATCGTTTAAAAAAGCTGCATTTACAAACATGATGTCTGTTCATTGGTAAACTTATATTGAAATGAAAACAAGTAATTGTTTTGTGCATGATGATCTGTACCTGAAACCCTGATGAAATTAGTCTTAAATGTGTCTGTTTTTGTTGTCTAACAAAAAAAAAAACCACTAGTATGTTTATAACAACTTTCATCCTCTTTAACAAGATCAATCCAAAACTCAGACAAATCAAGATAATTAATGTTATAACTACTGAGACTCTTCTGTGCTTTCAGTAAAAAGGTTGTAAATATGTAATCTGTACCTGGTGTATTGTATGTATATAATATATCTTGAGAGCATACCACCTGACTGCATAATTTCATTTAGAAATGGACTAGCCTTCTCCCGCTTTCATAGATTGTTCATGTTCTGTTTAGCATTTAGAATGTGTGAATACAATGGGGAAATAAATCAGAGCATCTTTCTATTTGTGTTCTTCCCAAAATCTCATGCCACTGATAGGGAGTGGCTATTGCTGTCTATAGATATGAAGCTGGCATTGGCATTTTATATTGAGTGTTCCGTAAATCACCACAACTTTTCATTGCTATCGCAGAGTGTGTGAAGTGACTCCCCATTACATCTCAACACCTCTTCTCCTGGATCACTTTGTTTATTAAGCTCTGCTATGACTTGGCCAAGGTAACTGCCCCGCCTCTCACTGCACACACTACTAGAGTGCAGGTCTCCCCGGTGGCATTCTTGGTGCAAGTCCCTATCTGCAGAGCAGGGACGTGGTTCTTGGTCCATACTTTTACTACACATGATGCCATTACACAGCAGACACGGGATGACGCCTTTTTCGGCAGAACTGTTTTGCAATCTGCCATGAGATGAGATTTGATGACTCCTCTGCACAAACTACTGGTAAGTCACATATTGGAATGCACATGAGCAATCACTCAGAGAAAAAATGGTTACTTTAGTAACTTTTTGGAGATGTGTTGCTTGTGTCCATTCCAGACTCATTCACTCCCCTCTATCAGATTATACTGGTCAGAAGGAACTGAGCGAGTGTCCAGTTGGCAGAGGTGTATATAGACAGCCAAGGAGGCACCATTACAGGAGGCACGACAGCTAACCTAACAGGTACTGCTAGGGAAAATCTTCCAACGATTGTGCATGCAGCGCATATGCCCACATATTGAAATGTTCATGAGCAGCGCATCATGAAGAACAACAGATATGAAAGGTAAATTAACTTTTTTTTCTTCAATACACTGGGCCTGATCCTGCTTCCAATGGCCTGGGTGACAATAGAATCAAGCCTGTGGTCTAATTTTTATATTTGGCGCTGCATGTTGTCTATTCTGCTCTCAGCACTGTCAATCTACATTTACGCCTTTCAGAATCAGTTCCTGAAGCTGGTGCACAACCCATGGCTCTCATTGGAAGGTGAGGCTGCTTGATCCTTTGCAGAACACACTCAGTGCCACACCAAATCAGGCACTGAGAAAAGGAAGCTAAATGTCGTGTTTCCAACTTGTGATTTAAAGACTCGTTCTTTTGGAACATAATCCAGGGGCTTGCTGTTCTGGAAAAGTAAGATTCCCCAAGATGAGTTAATATAGTACAGGCAGTCCGCGGGTTACGTACAAGATAGGGACTGTAGGTTTGTTCTTAAGTTGAATTTGTATGTAAGTCGGAACTGGTACATATTGTAGGGGAAACTCTAGCCAAACATTTCTCCAGAGCTCAGTTTTCTTCTCCCACACCTCACTTCCCTCAGTCCTTTATTCTCAAGCTGAGGTGTCTGCTGAGAAAAGCCGCTCCGTGTCTCCCTGGTCTGCTGGGGGGAGAGGGGAGGGCACTACCTTCGTGTCTCCCTGGTCTGCTGGGGGGGAAGCAGCTAGTGCGAGGTTGCCTCACCCCGTTTGTAAGTAGGGATCTGATGTAAATTGGATCCATGTAACCCGGGGACTGCCTGTATAACCCTGCCATAACTGGATGGATGGCATTTCTGAGGCTGGCTATTTTGTGCCCAAGGGTGGCCTTACTTTGTTGTCCATCAGCTCTGCTGTTTGCTGATTGCTCAATTGAAATGTTTTCTTTCCTGCACTGAAAACTATTTTGCTCTGCCACATGACAGAATTCTCTTTTCTCACTCCCATAGTCATCTGGCAAGCAATCTGTTCTGTTAATGGGTAAGACATTTATGTTTGCTCTTGCCACTGTATTGATTACAGATATTTGGGAATATGGGAGGAAGATCTGTTTAAACTGAATTATTACAGTTCTAGCTGATAGGCCAAATTTTGCTCTTAATATTGGTTATTCATTCAGATCAACTCTTACATGTGTTTTCAACTCCATACAGTTGTATGTATTGGTATAGAAAACAGATATCACAGCCCTTTAGGACTGCCATAGAATCTTACTGTTACTTTAGTGATACTAATGAGAAATTATATATATCTTTATTTCTTAAAAAGTATTCCTGTTGCATTGTTAGAGTAGCAGCAGTGGAACTATTGGAGGAAGTACTATGTAAATATATTAAAAGCAATCTGAGCCATGGCTCAGATTCAGCTTGATGCAAATTTATGCATCATTATTAAATCAAGGGTGGGCACCAAATGACAACAGACTAAATTTAACCCATTTCATTTACCAAATGCAAGGTGTGATGAAACATTACATAGGAACTATTTTCCTATCAGATAAAAAAAGACAGATAGCAGGCTTTGTGAAGTATAATTTTAGTATGTAACTCTTTGAATGAAAGAGCAGATTGACACTAAACAACTATTTCCCTTTCCAAATTCTCTCATTGAAAAGATGTCTTAGAGTGACTTATTACTGCCACCTCTTGGATAAACTGATAATGGATTTTTTGTTTAAGAAAAAAGGATTAAATAGCCAGCTCTAGCTGTGAGAAACCTCCAGAATGGATTTTTATTCATGAACAGCCCCCTGAACTGCAACTCAAGGAGAGCACTTTAATTTATATGACCTAAGTGCCAGACCAAGGTTTTGTACAATATTACTTAATGCATACCTTAGACTTAAAGTTCAGTTCCAGATCCAGACTTCTAAATTCAGGACTCATGAATTTAGAAATTTGGTGGAGTGATTCAGATGTAGGTATCTGTTGCGTACACTAAAGGTGTTCAGAACTAATCTGTCAGTAGGTTCAGGTATCTTTGGATGCAAAATTGGTTTGGGATTGACCTGTAATAATTCCCATATCCAAATCTGCATTAGCTTCTGGTCTTCTATGCACAATTCAGATTTCTCTTAATCCTTTCCAAAGCACTTCATAACTCTGCTACCATTCACATCTCTGCTCACCTTTCTTCATTCAATCTTCACAAGCTATTTTTCCTTACTATTTCGTTTATTAATTTCTGAGGTGTAGGTCAGATTGTGTTGTAAATACCACAGAATAAGAACCTAGATATAGAACTCAGGCCATTTCTTAAGCTTTGGGTAACGTCTCAGTTAAAAAAAAAATCACACTAAGTAGTCTCTTCTGTCTGTTAAACTTTTGAAAATTATCTGATTCTCCGACACCTCTAGTCTCTGAGCTGTACCCTATATTGCCTTTACCCTCTGTAGGCTCCTCAAGACACAAATCTTGTTCTTTGTATAGCATATTGTAAAGGGATGTGCTAAGTTTTTTAATGAGGAAGGAGGATCCACATTTTCTGTTAACTTTGCAATTATAGCAAAGACTTGTATATTATTAGACTTTCCAATGGTCTTGATTTTAAAAAGCCTTAATAGAACAACTTTATCATAAATGACTGAAGTCACTTTTTGTCAACATTCCTGGGCTATTCCATGACTAAATGATGTGCCACAATAAATAAATAAATAAAAGCAGCTGCCTCCTTACTTATGCCTCTGTGGGAAGGAATCCTAGGAGTCTTGATGCGTGAGGGGTTTTTTTTCATACTTTAAGGATCAAACAAAATTTCAGGAGTTAAATTTAGTATGTTTCTTTTCAAAGGAAGCCCAACAAAAAATAAATAAGAATGCAATGGATATACAATTTTCAGAGTTTGTTTTATAACCTTCCAATGCTGACATTTACCAGATTGGCAAAACCTGTAACAGCTGCCATTCACAAAGAGTAAAATGTATATTTTCATTCTTTGATTTCAAACAAAAGAAAAGGAGAACAAATAGTGTCCATTAGTATAAAGTGACACACAGCAGAATAACGTCTTACAGCTACCTCTGCCAAACAACTCTTCAAAGGAGAGAATGTATATATAATACATACACAACTGTAAAAGGTTGCAAAGTCTCAAGCACTCAAAAGTTAAAAAATGCCAGAAATATGGTTGCTTGTGCAGCCTTAATTCAACTCTTAGGCTTGTGCATTATGATATTTTACCTACCTGATTTTCTACAGAATGTCTGCTTCATTCAGCATACAGGTGGATAGTGCTCCATTAATGAGCAACTATTCAGTGTTGTTTTAGCCTCGTAGTTAAGTATGTAGCTCCACTTATTTACTTTATTCAAATCTGTGTTTAACTACAAAATTATTTATTTCGTAATGCTTTGCCAATATGATTTAGTTTACCTTCACAATACCCCCTGTGAGGATGAAAGGTTGGTATTTATTTACAGATGGGGAGCATAAAGAGATCAAGATAAAACATTTTCCAACTACTTTAAGTGCCCAATTTGAGTTGACTAGAACTTGATTATTTCAGAGTATTTAGTCTTATATAAGACTCAGCACAGCTGCAATTGAAGCTCAGCTCTTCTGCAAATCAGACCTCTGGGTCTCAAGTTGAACACCTGGAAAATGAAAAAAGTAGAATTAGGGTAAAGATGAACTGGGTATCTAGTCACCGTTACTGTTACTGGCATGCTTATTGGGTAACCAGTTAACTGGCAGGGGGCATGGGCCCCCTCCTGCTGTGGCCCAGCCAGCAGGACCCTGGCTGGCCAGAACAGCCCTGCCATCCACAGAGGGCTGGAAGAATGGACTGGGCTGGACCTTGGCTAACCATTTATATTATTTAACTGGTTAACTTTTTAAAGGGGCATTTACATCCCTACATAGAATTAATGACTACCTGTGAAAAGACTGATTTAAGTGACTGCCCAGTATCACACAGGATGTCTGTGGCCAGATTCAGTGACAGAACTTAAATCTTCAGGACAGCAGTCAGCTGGCTTACCATGATACTATCCTTTCTCTTCCTACAAGCTCCTGTCTCATTTGCTACATACTGCAACAAATAAAGCAGAGTCCTAAAGACAACTGGCTCTTTTACATCTGTGACATCCTCCAGAGTGGATCCATTCTGTGCAATACGTGGGGTGGGATTATGTGGAAAAATTAGCATATGCTTATGTAAATATGGGCATAATATATATGTCAAGACCAGTTACTTTTCCAGTGCCTAAGTAATGTCTTTTGGATCTAACCACATCATATCCATTAAACTAATCTGAGTTGGTCCTAGTCCAGGATTTGGATCTGTGACCTCTGGGGAAAAAGTGATTGCTGCAGGAAGAGGTGTGGGTGATTCCATGGGAATCTTGTGGTTGAGTCGTGCGCGCGTGTGTGTGTGTGTTTGCATGCATGCGTGCACTATTATAGATGGTGGGCTTTGTATGAGATGTAAAAAGGAGCTCCTGATTATTAAAGATCCCATGGCTCTTTTTGCCAGAGCAAAAATGTAACATTGACTGCATTCCAATCATGGTAATTACATTCTGTCTGAAATTCCCTGTGTAATTTTAGATGCATAAGATATTCCTCACTTCCTCTTTCAAGCAGTTGTATTTGAGTGCTTTAACATGGGTACTACATTTTAGTGGTGGGAGACCTGATTTTTTGCCAAAGTGAGGCACTTGTATTCTTTTGTCTTTAATGGAGTAATTGTGGTGGTAGAAGTCTATTTTGCTAATATAAAATGAATTATTGGAAGAAAGAGAATCTTTCTCAGTCTTATTGTTCCACAAACAAATAAAAGCAATACCAGGAAAAAGGTATACGGATAGACGACAAATATTTATTCAAGATACTGTATTATTTCACAGAGGATTTGAACTGTGTAAGCATTAATCCAGTATCTCTATTGTGAATGAGCCCCAGACCAGAAGTCATTTTTAATTTTTTTAAAAAGCTTGTATTGTGTTCCATTGACTAGTGAATTGTTCCATTAGGAGATGGTTATTGTTTGATGATCTGTTAGACTAAGGAGAGAGGAGAGTCTGAACAGTTGAAATATACAGTTAGTCTGCACAGCAAGAACAGAACACATTTCCTCTTGCATTTTTAAAGTTCTGTGCTTAAGTTTATCCCAAGTAGCACTGAAGCTTGCCATCACTTTTACCGAAAACAAGATTGGTCCCTTAGTGAGGAGATGGTGGGAAATGGGACTGTTTCCTCTGATCTTTCTGAGCTATGTTTGACACAAGAATGC